CTATTCGGGACTAATCGAAGCCTGTGAGCTCTGGTCCTCCAGGCCTTGCATGACAATCAGTACAAGATCAACAGGGAAAAGTTCTCCTTTGGAGTCGACTCTGTTTTCTATCTTGGTCATGTTATTTTCGGAGAGGGGTTGGCTCCTGAGGCAACGAAAGTTGCTGCTATTCGGGACTAATCGAAGCCTGTGAACATTCGTGATGTCCGGTCTTTCTTAGGTCTTGCATCATACCACAGGAAGTCCAATAAGAACTCTTCCATGGCAGCACCCCTAACTGACCTCACAAAGAAGAACACTACCTTTCTTTGGACATCAAAATGTCAGGAGGCTTTTACACGTCTCAAGAAGGCCTTGATTCGTGCGCACCTGTTCTGAAGCTACCTGACCCCACTTTGCCTTTTGTGCTAACCACTGATGCGAGTCAATATGGTGTTGGGGCGATACTTCAGCAGGATGATGGGAATGGTTTGCAGCCAGTCACATGAGCAAGAAGATAAAAACTAAGAAGTTGTGGGATTCTACCTATGAGAAAGAGCTTTATGCTCTTATGTCAGTGCTCAAGCAGTGGAAGCACTTCCTCCTAGGCAAGTACTTCAAGATCTTTTCAGATCACTGCACCCTTAAGTGGATGAAGTCCAAGGAGAACTGAATGACAAGCTTGCTCGCCATATTCAGTTCATTGACTTGTTTGACTTTGAACTGAAGCACAAGACGGGTTGTTATAATCGCATAGCAAACACCCTTTCTCGTAGACCTGACGCTCTCTTCTTGATCTCCCTCACTCACTCTTTTGGAGAGAAGACTCGTCAGACCATTGCCCACCTACTGCCCCAAGACCCGATTTCTGGGCCCATCGTGAGGAGCCTACAGAACGATCCTGCCACTGAACCCGGACATACATTGGTTGCAGCAGAGGTGAGGAACGACTGTGCATTCCTCAGGATCGCAAGTTGAGAACACTCTTTATGTCAGAGTGTCATGATGCTCGTGGTCATTTTGGTGCCCTCAAATCTTATGCGGCTCTATCGCAACGCTTCTTCTCGAAGGAGATGCTGCATTATGTGGAAACCTGCGAGTTATGCCAGAGGAATAAGGTAGTATATAGACCTCCCCTTGGCTTACTCAAACCACTACCCATCCCTGAAGCACCTGCACAGTCAGTGTCTATTGACTTTTCTGATCTGGGTAGGACCACACCTCGTGGTATGCGTTAGGTTATGGTATGTGTGGACCGGTTTTCCAAACATGAAGAATTCATCCCCTTACCAGCCGAGGCCCGTGTTCCAGCTGTACAGGCGGCTTTTGCTAACAGGTGGGTTACACATCATGGACCACCCACCTCGATAGTCAATGACCAAGATCCCTGATGTTGCAGCAATGAATGACAATCCTATTGTAGGGATTACCTTCATTCTCGTTTGGATATGATATCTGGACGTCATCCTGAAGCCAATGGACAAGTTGAAGTGATGAACCAAATTCTGTTTCAGCTACTGTGTCCTGTGATTAGTCCAGATCAGCAGGACTGGGATCTACATTTGGGTCGTGGATATCTAGTGTATAACACACATGTCCACTTCTCTACTGGTTTCACACCCTATTGTCTGCACTAGGGACGTGAACCACGGTAGCCTCTCGATGATATCATCGACAAGGCTACACCTGCACTGACACCTGAAACCGTTAAGTTCACTAGGCCTTACCGTGTGGACATTGAGCGTGCCCGTGCCAACCTGCTCAAAGCGCCAAAAACTATGATTCAGCAGGCTAACAGGCACCGCCCCCCTTCTACCATTCGCACAGGTGATTGGGTTTGGGTGCTCAGTTCTGAGCTGTCATGTGAGGAGGACTTCTCACCCAAGCCGTTGCCACGATATATGGGTCCATGGCAGGTTTAAGATACAGTGGGAGCTGATCCCTTTGGACCATCCTATACTGTCGATGTCCCTCTGCTTCTACAAACCTACCCTGTCTTCCATGCATCTATGTTGTTACCATTTACTGCAGTTGATGCATTCCCAGACAAGGCCCCATAGTTTGGTCCCCTAATCCCTGGAAAGGGATATGAGGTGGAATCGATTGAGTAATCCCTGGCAAGGGATCTGAGGTGGAATCGATTGAGGATGAGATAGGTACAAGTCCAGACAAACAATGTCGTGTGAAGTTTTCCTACCAGCCGCACATTGAAGACCTCTAGTTTACTCCCAAGGAACTTCTTAAGACCGCTAAGTCTGTTGTCCTCAAATATGAGGCAACTCAGAAGGGAGAACCCCTTCGACACTCTGCACGCCTACGTGGCTAGCTCGGAGGTCCTCGGTCCTGGGGAGGTAGGTCTGCAATGACTTGCTGGTTTTGGTTGCCTGTAGCCCATCGAGTTGAGGTTGTACCAGAGGTACATCAAATTCGTTATTTCGTTTGGCTGAGGGCTAACCAAGAGACCTGCCTGTAGGGAAATTCGTGAGGGACCTAACTGCAAATTCGATAAAATATAGGCCGCACTAACTAGGATTTCCTACAGCTATCCTCACTGCCGGGTAGGAGAGAGGCCGATAGGCCGAAAGTGAAACGGTGTCGTTCGGTCCAGTCAGTCCGGTCTAGGTCTAGGCTAGGGTAGTGTAACTCTATAGATAGATTGTAGACCTCGGTTCAGGGCTTTTGGCAGTTGGTATCGGTACATCGCTGCTGCGCAACGCATGAACTGGAGTGGTGACAGCTTCAGCGTTGGAGGAGACAGACATAGCCGGACCTGCGAATCATCGACCATAGTTGGGACCTACGCTGTACTCTGACAGCACGCGGGGTTGTTGAGATGTCCAAACTATCTGAAGTCTATTGGAGGCGAGGGAAGTTGGTGCCCTGCTGAACCCTCCTCAGGAGTAGGGTCTCAGGGAGTTTGGCGTTGCAGCCATAGCTGCAGCTTTCTTCCTTAGAGTTCATCTTTGTCAGGAGAGGTGGGGCTGCTACAAACTTCCACCCGGAAGTCCTCTGACACTTCATCATCATCAGACACTGTGGCGCTGGTCTTTTTCTTTATCCTCTAAGAGGCGCTTGGCCTCGAGGCCTGTTTCAGGGTGGCGCTTCCCTTTGGAGGCAGTATCTAGGTGGCCCTTGATGTTTCAGGGACTCAGGGGCAGTTAAACCGGTTGTTCAGGGTTGGGGAGTGAAGCGCTGCTCATTTCTGAGCAGCGCACCATGGTTATTCTGACATTTCGAGACTCTGAGTTTAATAAAGAGTGGTTATACTGTGTGTGAACTATCTTTGCTTCATTGTTTCCTGGATGTGATGTACTCGGCTTTCCTTTGTGACTGGTTGTGGGGATTCTGTGGAGCGAATTGCACTGTCGGTGTTTTCAAGACATATCGCATCGTCAAGTCTTCCATTGTGTTTATCTCTCCCTGTGTGGTGTGGTACTCCCATCCTCTCCCCTTCCTTCTGTGTATGTATGGGCATACCTAGTCTATGTGAGCGAGTGTTGGTCTTCTGACAACAAAGAACCAGGCTTATAACATCTTCGTCAGGGGTTAGTCAAAGTGTTTCTTAGGTTTCCGTTAGTTAGACTGTTGGCTTGCAAGTCAGCCAGCAGACTCCACTCACGGCGGAGGATTATGATATCCTCCAAGCGGAAGCCCTTCATGGTAAGCTGCAGCAGCAGTAGAGAGAGGCAGCGGAGAGAAGACAAGAAAGGCTAGAATAGGAACTTTTTTTTTTTTTTTTTTTTTTTACACTTCCCCGTCAGTGCTAGTGGTGCTGATAAGAGCAGCAACCGCTAACACCTGGGCGGGCTCCATCTATTGGTGCGGCGCAACACCTGCTGGAAACCGGGTCCAGCGTCCCTTACACGGACAGAATTCGAGCCATATCATAAACAAGAGATGCATAATATACCTGCCAGCATTGATTACCCTAGATTCCAGGGGATTGACTGTGCAGGATGTTTGGGGGTGGGGGCAGGGGGCGGGGGGGGACCTCTTCACCATGAACCTGGCGCCAGATACCTGCTCCTACACCCTAGTTCCTCCCATCCCCTTTCTGCCACCACCAACTTCATTACCCCACCAGCTTTCCATTTATTCATTCAACTGTCCCAGTCCGCTCCGTAGCTGTGCATTACCCATTCAGTCCTCTCCATACCATTGCAT